TAATGATTTTTGGTATAAAAGAAAAATCAACCATTTTAGATATTGCCCAAAACTTGCTGTGCAACGTAAGACTGCTTTTGTGATCCAGTGTCACATTTAATATATTAAAATAAATTCTCTAATATGCTTTCTATGAATATAGTCACATGCCATGTAAACGCCAGAATGCAAGTCAATTTGAACGAATAAATCATTTTCATTTTCATCAAGCCAAAACCTCTGACACACATTTCCAGGTCTGACACTGCAGAGGAAGCGGCGCTTTAATTCTCAGCGGATTGTGATTTCAGCAATCAATGTCATGCTCAACTGAACAATAATTCAGCGTTAAATATGCATGACCTTGTACCAATACAGTCTGGGACTAACGTCATCGCAGAGCAGAAAAACATATCGAGCTAGTTCCTGTGAACAGAAGGTCAGAGTAATCACAGACAACAGTCCAGGCAGACATGAATTACAGTGATCTGAAGACAGCGCAACAGTTACATAAAAGCACACAGAAGCTGCACCCTTTCTTAACAGATGACAAATGTTCTCAAATAATTTTACTCATCAACAATCAGTGCTACAACTTAGATGGATGAAGAAAAGTGGAAAGAGGAAGCGTGTCTTCTCAAAGAACAGCACATCCCACATGGAAATAACAGTGATTGTGCTAGATGTAGTGTTGGCTACTACTGCCATCCTGTGGAATAATGCAGGCTTAATACTGCAATGACTAGTTACCGTTATAAAGCATTGCTATATCATTAAGAAAAAACAGTTTGGTAGACTTAACTATTTGATATGAAAAAACATATTTTTAGAAAATATTTGTTTTTCAGGTTACAAACATGCTGTATTAAAATAGTTTAAAATAATATTTATTTAAAGAGCTCCTTATCCCACAAATATTTACTGTTAATTAGGTTTAATCTTTGGATATTACAAATATAAAATTGTAGACATTTTTTTGCTGGAAACGTGATTCTATCGGCAGACCTATGAGTCAAAATTAACATAATATTCATGCTTCTTGATGATACATCTACGTCTTATGAAGCTTAAATAATAACAACTAGCAATAAACTAACAAAAAAGTACATACAGCCATAGACCTTTTTATAAAAATGTAAAGGTTCAAGTAAAATTCTACTGTATATGTATGTGTATGCATGTATGTGTATGTACAGTTGAAGTCAGAATATTAGCCCCCTTTTAATTTTTTTTTTCTCTTTTTAAAATATTTTCAACATGATTTTTAACAGAGCAAGGAAATTTTCACAGTATGTCTGATAATATTTTTTCTTCTGGAGAAAGTCTTATTTGTTTTATTTTAGCTAGAATAAAAGCAGCTTTTGATTTTTTAAAAAACATATTTGGGACAAAAATATTAGCCCCTTTAAGCTATTTTTTTCGATAGTCTACAGAACAAACCATCGTTATAGAATAACTTGCCTAATTACCCCAACCTACCTAGTTTTTACCTTATTAACCTAGTTAAGCCTTTAAATGTCACTTTAAGCTGTATAAAAGTGTCTTGAAAAATATCTAGTAAAATATTTTTTACTGTCATCATGGCAAAGATATAATAAATCAGGAAATTAGTTATTAAAACTATTATGTTTAGAAATGTGTTGAAAAAATCTGTTCTCAGTTAAATAGAAATTGGGAAACAAAATAAACAGGGGCGCTATTAAATCAGGGGGGCTAATAACTGACTTCAACTGTATGTATGTGTATGTATGTATGTATGTGTGTGTGTGTGTGTTTATAAGTAAAAATCTACTGTATATGTATGTATGTATGTATGTGTATACAGTTACATACTATTATTATTAGCCCTCTTTCGATTTTTTTTTCTTTTTGGTTTTCGCAAAATTTTCACAGTATGTCTGATAATATTTTTTTGTTCTGGAGAAAGTCTTATTTGTTTTATTTCGGCTAGAATAAAAGCTGTTTTGAATTTTGAATATATATATGTGTGTGTGTGTGTGTGTGTGTGTGTGTGTGTGTGTGTGTCTGTGTGTTTGTATGTATATTTATTATTATTATTTGTTTTAGTATGTCTGTAATTTAATCTTCAGATTTTCCTTTTTATTGTCACTATTGTTGTTGCTGGCATTATTATTAATATTATTATTTAACAACCTGTATTTTGGTTATTACATGCAATTCTTATGCACACTTCTATACGCTGTTAGTCTACGGCATTTTTTATTGTGTTCACATAATTCTAAATAAAAGAGAAATCAGATTTTTTTATGTTTAGCTGCCGATAAAAAAAGTCTACTGTATGCCTTGGGTGGCCTGAAAATTAGTAAATTAACAGCAAGCTGTGCTACTTAATGCATAGCTAGCATGTTTATAGTTCTGGGCAATAATTATTACACACCGTCTGCATTGGCCGCACCCATACATACGTCCTCTTTTTCCATTAATTCTCTGAACAACATTTAAAACATAAGCTTCAACATATTTCTGCTAACAGGAAGTTTAGCTGCAGAGCTGAAGTTAAGTTTAGGCCTATCAATCTAGACAATCAGGTCTTTGCATTTCTGTCAGCTTCATCAACTTCTGCAAAAAATGCTTCATTAGTATGCAAAGCATATCACACTCAACAGAAGAAGTTCAGTTAATTTATCAGCTTTAAGCAATACAAATACAATTGTTTAATGAAAAGAAAAAGAGAAAAAAATATGTTTAAAATATATTCCTTTTTCCCAACATATTGGCTGAGTGTCATAATGTGAAATACGAAAGAAATTGGTAAAATAATCAACCATTATAGTGTGAAGTAATATTTAATGCAATTTTTATTTCTCTCTTTATATCAATGTACACAATAATTACATTCAATTTTAAGGGGATGTCAAATGAAAGTCTGTTCATCGGTTACTTGCTTTCAAATGCTCTTACAGGTTTATGTTTCTTTTTTCTGTTAAAAAAGGGTCATTTATTCATTCATTTTCTTTTTGACTTAGTCCCTTTATTTATCTGGGGTCGCCACAGTGGAACGAACCGCCAACTTATCTAGAACTTGTGTTTACGCATCTGCTCTTCCAGCTGCAGTCCATCTCTGCGAAACATCCATACACACTCATTCACACTCATACACTACGGACAATTTAGTTTACCCATTGTACCACGTCTTTGGACTGTGGGGGAAACCGGAGCACCCGGAGGAAACCCACGCGAATGCGGGGAGAACATTCGTACTCCACACAGAAATGCCAACTGACCCAGCTGAGGCTCAAACCAGCGACCTTTTTGCTGTGAGGCGACAGCACTACCTACTGCACCACCACATCGCAGGAAAACAAAGTGTGAAGTAATATTTAATGCAATTTTTATTTCTCTCTTTATATCAATGTACACAATAATTACATTCAATTTTAAGGGGATGTCAAATGAAAGTCTGTTCATCGGTTACTTGCTTTCAAATGCTCTTACAGGTTTATGTTTCTTTTTTCTGTTAAAAAAGGGTCATTTATTAATTCATTTTCTTTTTCGGCTTAGTTTCTTCATTAATCAGGGGTCACCACAGTGGAATGAACTGCCAACTTATCTAGCATAAGTTTTACATAGCAGATGTCTTTCCAGCTGCAACCCATCACTGGGAAACACCCATACAGTCTCATTCACACACATATAATAGACAATTTAGCCTACCCAAATCACCTATAGTGCATGTCTTTGGACTTGTGCAGGACCCGGAGGAAACCCATGCAAACATGCAAACTCCACACAGAAATGGCAACTGACACAGTTAAGACTCGAACCAGTGACCTTCTTGCTTTAAGGCGACAGTGCTACCCACTGCACCACCGTGCTGCCCTACAAAAGAAGATTTAAAAAATAAATGTTAGAAACCAGTAGCCGACAACATCAACAACAAAAATAGCCTTTTAAATATATTGAAAATATATTATTCTTCGTATTGGGATTAACAGAAACTCATTAAGCTTTGGAGCAAGTGGATGGTAAAATTGCTGCATTTTTAAACTACAAATTTAATAATGTAATCTGTACTTCTATAGTGGAATAGCATATTCAATGATGACTGCCAGGTACTGTGGATGTGCCATTGTTGGTCTATTTCCAATATTATTAACTAGTGCTGGTGCATAAACCTAATAAATTCTGTTTTCAGGACATTCTACCAGAAACATACATGATCTTTCCCTAAAATAAAAACCTAAATACAGTAAATAAAAAGTATTTCAGCCGGAAAATGTCTAAAACGGATAGATGGTTGATTTCTGTGAGTTTTTCTGTAAAGGAATCATTCATTTGGTTCACAAAAACAAAACACTTTACAAATGTACAAACCCTGTCATAGTCCTTGTCCTCAGCCCAATTGAACCTACGGCTTTAATAGTTTTGTTATGCTAAAAAAATACTTTAGAAATAGCAAGTTTAGGTTGCTAATATTCACATCAATTAATTTAAAACGAAATTATAAAAAAAATCTACAAATAAAATACTACAAATAAATTTACAATGTCCCTATATTTTGGTCAGTCCTTTCACATTTGCATTAAACTTAACATAAAATGCGTGCAATACACCTTTAAGGATTTGACTCGACAGCGACATTATTTGATGGAAGAAAAGCTGACAGTGATCAAGGATGCGTTTCATCATTGAATTGTATGATTTCATGCTTGTTTTTGTAGGATTTTTTTTTTGTTTATTTATTTATTTATTTATTTATTTATTTTTTGAGGACGACAAGCTTAATTTAATTCAAGCCCTGTCACACTTTTTATAAATGAAAATGTACGTTTCTGGTAATTTGACCAAAACTTTTTATACTTTTTATTTACAATATATAACTTGTAATGTATCCAGTGGATTTGCAGAAGTTCACCTTTTACTTCTAGAAGAATGTGTAAATATCACAACAAACAAAAACCCACGACGGCAACTTAACATCTCGAATTTAAAACCCATTTTTCCTGAAAACCTGTTTGAAAAGCGAGCCAAAATTCCTGCGCCCGCCATTGGCTTCCTGCTTTCATCCGGGTACCGCAGCGCAGCAACCTATGAGGCCAAAGACACCAATATGGCGGAGGTAAGCTGGATAGCTGGAAAAACTACTCGGTTTTAAACCCATCTCTTTAACGATTCGGTGCAGTGATGGTGGCTTTCGTTGATATTTATCCGTAGAGTAGATGCTGGTGTGTATACGCTGAGGTTTTTAGCTATAACTGTGCAAAACTGACGGTGAAAAAACGATTTGAGTGAAGAGTGATCTCTCTGGATCGACGGAGGCCTCTGAATCTCATCTCCGTTAGCTCTCAGGAAAAAAACAAACAAGATATCGGCGCCTATAATTGATACTTTACTCGATATAATCGCCTTTTTCGCGACGCATTGCTTTGTTTTTTAGGCTTAATCGTGTTTTAAATATATTTAGCGAATAATTTTGGGCTGTTAACGTGCGCGAGAGGTTTGTTTATGGTGTGTGGGGTATGGTTTTTTGCACTGTTTGGAGAGGATGACAGCATCGCTGTGAAGTTGATGGCTATTTGGTTTATGTCGTTTTTACGTGATATCGCTGTATTAATAAGTTTAAAACGTCATTGTGTTTTTTACAAGAAGAAAATAGGCTTGAATTCACATCGTACGTTACCGTCGCGGGTATTGTCGGGTTTGCGCGTATAATGCATGTTCAGTGCACGTTCGTTTAGCTTAGTATGATGTATATGAGTGCGCTGCAATGTGTTTTGCTTGCATTAACCCATTTGTTTTTGTCTTTCGCTATCTCTCTCTCTCCCCCACCTTTTTTTTTTTAAATGTCTTCACAGGCTTCCTTGGGGAGTTCGAGCCCTGGTAGGTTTCTTAGTTTATTATTTCAATGTGTTTTATTATTATATATTTATTATATATGTGGTGTGTTAATAGCTTATTATTATTATTAATTTTATTATTATTATTGTTGTTTTATTTATTTTTACTATTACTGTTATTTTGGAGAAATAAGAGTAATAATTGTCAAATATGGATCCACTAATAAGGATTTTTTTATTATGTAGTTTTTTCTATCATATAATAAAATGTTAGGTCACACTTTATTTTGATGGTCCATTTGTTACATTGCATCTACATGTCAACTAACAGGGTTCATATGGTCATCGAAAACCTGAAAAAGTCATGGAATTTTGACATGGCATTTTTCAGGGCTGAAAATGTTTTTATTTATTTTTTATTTTACTAATTTTGTATGATTTGTTTTTGCTTTCTTTAGTACATGTTAAAAGTTCATAAAAAATAATTACACTTTTTAAAAAATGTTGTATGAACTAGGCATGGGCCGGTATAAGATTCTGACGGTATGATAACCTTGGATAAAAACCTCATGTTTTCACGGTATTGTGATCACTGCTCTAAAATATGTTCTTTTTAAATGTCTGGTAAAAAAAAAAAAAAAAACCTTTTTCCCCCTTTGAAAACAATATATTTTATTTTTAGAAACATTTAAAATACTTTGGGACAGTAAACATGTCATGCTAAGTAATTAAAATAAATCATTGGCCTCTGCTGTCTTCATTAGTTTTAAAAACACAGATTTCTTTACAATTTAAAACCGCATCCTTGGATATCTTTTCTGCTTGAGATACTGTTGTCCTAAAAAAAAATATATATATATATTCATATATATATATTCCGCAGTATTCCTTGAAAACGGTTGTTATCCCATGCCTAATATAAACTAAAAGTTAAATTTAGTCATCATTTATTTGACTTTTTTTTTTTATTTTTCGGGAATGAACTCAAATGTGTGCAATCAGTAACAGTGTTTAATTTTTTTCCCTCTAGTTGGCTCTTTGTCTTCAGAGGATCACGACTTTGATCCAACCGCTGAGATGTTGATTCATGAGTATGATGATGAGAGAACATTGGAAGAGGAAGAGCTTTTAGAAGGAGAGAGAAATTTCAGTGCAGAACTGTCCGACTTGGAAAGGGTAAAGTGCATGTGGTGCTATCCATTTGTTTCTTCATTTAAAAGAGCATGAATTAGGGGAAAATACAAAAATGATGGAATATGTTTTGTTACGTCCCTAAGGTTTGAAGTCACATTTTAAGCAGTATTATGTTTTGATTTAGATTATGTTAAATGGTGATTTACTAAAGAACTAACTTTTATATATATATATATATATATATATATATATATATATATATATATATATATATATATATATATATATATATATATATATATAAAAATTATAATAGTTGTTGTGTGGCCTAAAATAATGTAACTGATTTTGGTGAAAAAAAAACATGAAAAGGTTTGTATGGCTTTTCTTTTTTTATGTTTATAAGTAATAGGAGTCATATTGAAGTTTCATCATATATATTAATATGTGAGACCAATCGCAAACTATTTTTTTTTTTTTTTACTCAACAGTTAGTAGATTGTATTGAGTGAGGTACACAGTTGATGAATTTTTATATTTCTGTTTTGATAATAAAATAGTTTTGAATTAAATGAGGTAATGCAGACAGACACTTTTAACCTACAAAAGAATGATTCATTGGATGCCTCATTAACAGGTACTCATCGCAACCTACTTTTGGTTTGAGGGTTATTTATTTCATATATTTACAAACATGACTGGTCTAAAGGAGCCAAGCAAATACACACAGCAAATTTTTTTATTTTTGGCAGTATTAATAGACAGGGTTCATATGGTCCTGGAAAATTCATGAAATTTCGATAAGGCATTTTACAGGCCTGCAAAAGTTTTTAGAAAAACAAATAAACCCCAAATGTTTTGGAAAAGTCATGAATGTTTAACAGTTATCTGTGTACTTGAATATATTTGAGATTAACTTAACTTGTACTTGATACTATATTTGATGGGTAAAAAGCAATTTTAGTTTTGCCCTGTCTTTCATTCGCTTTTACTGTAAGTCAAGATGCATTTTGAGTGTGGTGTCCTGAAACAATATCTAACTGAAAAGGGAAGATACTGTGGGTGCTAAAGGCTAATTTGTACTAAACTTAAGTCTTGTAAAAATACAAGCCAACATTTTAAAGTTTCATGCAGACAGCAAGATACTTTCTGAAAACTATTCTATAGCTATATATACAAACAACATGGATTGTCACATATTTTTTGATATGCAATAATAAATTTGTACCCATGTATATATATATATATATATATATATATATATATATATATATATATATATATATATATATATATATATATATATATATATATATGAAGTTAAGTTCTTAAAGCTTTTCAAATTAAGTTCTGCGCAAGCAACACTATTTATTTCCTAGAATATGTGTAGGCTTATTAGTGTGCAATTGTATTATTACAGTCTCTGTAAAAAAAGTCACTGTTTCTGTAGTGTGTTTTTATTTGTTTATTTATTTTTTTACATTATCAGGAGGGGAACATGCCGATCGATGAGCTGTTGGCCATGTATCGTTACGAGGCGTCAGTCAGTACTGGTGCAGGATCAAGCATTGACAGTTCCTCTGTTGAACTAGCAGATGATCTGCCTGACATGACCCTGGATAAGGTAGCTGCTATGAATTTGATATAGTGCCAGAGGACATTAGCTGTTTCCATCCAAAGATACAAATTAAATTTACATGCAAAACTGGATTATTATGTAAAATAATATGTTAATAAAGCATGGATTCCATCCAAGTCTAAAAAGAACAGAAGTCACTTCCTATTAAACTGGCCCCAAATATTAAAAAGAAAAAATGCTTTGGTAGGAGAAGCCTTTTATATATATAGTGCTGTCAATCGATTAAAAAAAATTAACTAATTAATTGCACCATTTTAAAAAAATTATCGCTTTTAAAATACTGAAATTTGTAATTTTGGCTGTTCAAATGTAAAATTAATGTAAACGCAAGACAAAAACTATTTAAATTCAAAATATAAGTGTTTATTAGAATTAAAATTCAAAATATAATTGTTTAATAGAATTTTTGATTAACTTGTAACACAGATTTCTTCATGTAAACAACATACCCACAATAAACCATCAAGATGGTTTATTAAATATTTTTATTAAAGAAATATTTATTAAAGAAATTAAAACACAGGCATGTTAATGACATTTAAATTTCAAAACAATCAATGCCAATAAAGAAAACATTGATTTCCATGTTGGATTCTAAGTGGACTGCAAAAAAATGCCAAAATACAGGAATTGGAGATATGGAAAATGAAAAATTATAATAATAAACTATAGAGTACAAACTGTTGGACTTATTGTAAAGTTTTATTGCTGTGAGTTGAGAACATTAGTTATAGAGTAGAAACAATTTTGCTTAATCCTCCTTTACATTCATCCAGTTGCTAAGACTAGGAGTATCCCGCAAGTGCACAGAGACTCCCAAATGCCCGCAAATTAATGATAATTTCTCGCAAACTGATCGTTAAATACATTGCAAACCCCTCTCCCCCGCATCCCTCCTAGCTCTTCAGGTAGCCTATGTCGCACACGCCCCTACTCAGATACGTCGCTCACTCCACCCCTGACACCCCTCAACGGGCCTGACACAGACACACACACACAACGCGCTGCAGACATTTTGGCCCCAACGGCCTTCCGTACTTGAGCGACTCCCCTCAGATTCAACACGCATGATCACGTTCATCAAATTTGCTTAAACTAAGCGTCCTAAAGTATTACTGTATTTCACAAGGATTCTGACACAACAACGCGAAGCATACACTTTCATTGCGTTTAATGAGGAAACACGCTAAACTTGGAGGGCTCATGCTAAAAGGCAGAGTAATGCCCTGTATTTGACAGCTCGCGACTTCACCAGACTTTCTGAGAACATTCACATAAGACACCAATACTCTGATTTTAATATGATTAAGATTATACTTCTACAGTGTAGCCTCAGCAGTGATTTTATTACCTTAAAGGAACACCGTCACGAAATGCAGAGGATTTTTTTTCTGTTCGCCATGCGTTATCAACTTCCAACAGAAGTCGAAAGTTAAAAATGAAACACCCGAAATTGCATAAAACTTTAGAGAGCCTGGTGATGCGGCTAATTGTTTTATACCGAAACTTGCCTTCAAAAAGTGCTTCATTGGTCTCATCCACATTTCTTGCATGTTAAACAGACGTCCACCACAACAGGAAGTAAAAAAAAAAAAACAGCAACTGCGTTAATTGCGTTAATTTTTTTTAACGCATTAATAACTTAAAATTAATCGCATGCGTTAACGCACTAATTTTGACAGCACTAATATATATATATATATATATATATATATATATATATATATATATATATATATATATATATATATATATATATATATATATATATATATATATAATCAATAACTTGTGCCTGATAGTTCGGAGAGGTAAGAATACTAAACCCTTTTGATAACAGACTTTGGGTAAAGGATTTTAGAATGACCAAAACAACATTTCAGATTTTTTATAATGTGGTCAGTTTGTCTATTAATGCTGTACAATTATTTAACATGCCAGTTTTTGTAATCACATGATCTGGTAAAGCAGTGCTGTATTATTTTTATTTTTTTTGTGCATATTGGAGTTTATTTTGTAAACATCAATTGTAGTTGCATATTTTTTTCTTGTCCAATGAAAAGTTTATCCAACTCAGTTATGTGAATTTTTTTATGTGCAATTTCAAAAATTTTGTGCACATTGGCATTTTAATTAAGCTTTTTTATGCTATACCTCCAAATGTGCATAGAGATAGGTGGATGGAAACATTAATAATGTTAATAGAAGTTCTAAGATGAAGTCACTAATGGTCTTCTGCTGTAGGAGGAGATTGCTAAAGATCTCCTGTCAGGAGATTATGAGGAGGAGACCCAGTCGTCTGCTGATGATCTGACCCCTTCTGTCACTTCCCATGAGGCCACGGATTTCTTCCCCAGAACTCTAAGATGTAAGAAGAAAAACTATAATCTTCTATTAGTACAGTTTTAATGGGTTTACATAATCATAAATTGTTTTCTTTTTAAATGAAAGTGTTTTATAGTTTCAAAATTATTTATTTAAACTTAAAAGACACTCTATTGACCTTATTCTTCAATGTGGAAGTGCTCTCGTTTTTTCGATTGGTTTAGAACTTCCAATTTAGTTGCCTATAGGAGAAATGAATGGGAATAAAGAACTGCAGAAAACAGTCTTCATACAAGTGTGCTCATGACTATACAGACAAAGCAGAGTAATATAATAGGAAAATATCAGTTTGCAACATCACGCAGCAGAACAAGTGATTTTTGACATAAAAATGAATGGAAGTGAATAGAGCTGCACTATTCTGGGCAAAATGAGAATCGCGATTTTGTTTTATTTATTTTTTTTAACTTAAAATAAAGATCAGGATTTTCTCAATTCTGTATATGTAAAATAAAGCTTAATATGAGTCTGCAATTATTATTGTTTTTTCTCAAACATATGGTAAAACAACAATAATAATATTATTTGCAGGTCTACTGGTTTGTATAAATAAGTATATTCTACTTATAATAATTCTAATGTTAAGTTATGCTTGATATAAACTCCTATGCTTGCATTCTGTCATTGACAACTTATTAGACCATTTTATTCACTAGTAAAATCAACATGATATAGGCTAGAATAGTTATACTGACTCTGTAAACATTTACTTTTATGCACAACTGTGTGTTCGCTATGAAAGAAAAAACATACCAAATGCTTGTCTCAGTCATAACTCTAAAATGCCAAATAATTATTTAAGTGATGTGTGCAGGCTTTCGGTTTCATTTTCACTGCTAAGTGCTGTTCATACTTCATGCGCGGCTCCCAAACGATCACTGTGTGCCACAAACGGAATATTATTTACAACTGTATTATGTTATTCACAGCCTATGCAGGTTCTGTTCACTAAAGTAGACACGCGCACGTCTATCATTAAGTACAGTGCATGCCCTCCCTCTCTGTGATAACAGCTCACAGTCGGCAGCTCACGTCACGTGTGATTTCCAGGCTGCAAATACAGCATTGTATAAAGACAAAAATTAAATTTTTAGTTGAATTATACCTTATTAATACTGTATGTTACTCTTTCGACAATATTTGGAGGTGTCCGTGTCGCTGAGCAATGTATGTGAAACAATGAAGACTCATGCAGTCTCCCTTGCTTCTCTCCTGAACTTGAAAATATGATTGTCAGAATCTAGAAATGCTGGATTAAGATCATCTAGGGGACAGGTGTCAAACTCGGTTCCAAAAGGGCCGCAGCTCTGCAGTTTAGTTCCAACCCTAATTAAACACACCTGATCAAACTAATTGAGTCCTTCAGGCCTGTTTGAAACCTACAGGTAAGTGTGTTGGAGCAGGGTTGGAACTAAACTGTGCAGGGCTTCGGCCCTCCAGGAATTGAGTTTGACACCCCTGGTCTAGGGGGTCGAATCAAGATCGTGATCTTTTTTCGATTAATTGTGCAGCTCTAGAAGTGAATGAGACCAGAAGTCTCGAGCCAAAAAGATTCAAAGGGCTGCGCGCATTTGTCTGCGAAGAAAAAGGTGAATAGAAAGTGTTCAAATAAAAAATGCAATATCACCCTCCACCAACCATCTTTTGTCCTTTTGTAAAAGTGCAGGTTTATTTAATCCTCTGATTCCTTTTTTTCCCCAGCCAATGTAACATATGACGGTGATAAAGAATCTGAGGGGGAGGAGGACGGTGTAAACAGTGAAGATTCTAGAAAGGTTGGTTTTATATTATTGTTGTTATTATTATTGTTAGTGTATACTGTTCAATGTGACAAGCTTTGTGCCAAGGCTGTGTTTATTAAATCAAAAACCATTCTGTAATTTTGTGAAGGAAAAAAATGCAATAAATAATAAGAAAATATTAATAACTATTTGAAGATGTTTCATTAGAATTCACTGCAGCCATTACTCAAGTTTTTGCTTTGTTGCTGTGTTTGGAAATTATTATTATTATATACAGATTTTGTGCTCAAAAAACTTTTTGTTTCTGTTTTGCTGGGTTGTTTGATTAAAAGGGAGTTCAAATCAACTGCATTTATTTTAAATGGAAGCTCCTTGAACCATTTAGAAATGTATTTTACAGTTTTATTTGTGAAAAAATAAAAAGAGTCATTATGTACAAACAGAAACTCAACCCGTCAAAATAAAATTTCAGTATAAATTGAAGAAATTGTGACAGAAAAATAACAGATTCCTTAGATTTTTTCCCCCATTAAATTGTCCCTTTCTATCGCTAAATTTTATTTGAATCTTGTATGGAGCACGGTCAAATTAAAAAAAGAATTTGGGGTTCCTACATGCCCAATGATGGTTTTCAAAAGTAAAATAATTAGATTTAACTAATATTAATTCCATTTCCTTAAACACAGGAAATAATGGTGGGATCTCAATATCAAGCAGAAGTCCCAGCAGGGCTCAGCCACTATAATGATGATGAAAAGGGTGAGTTGCTTAATGTGAATTCAAAGTTGACTCTGCTAATAAATCAATTAGAATACATTATGAGTGACATCAATTGAATGCGTATTGTGTTTGCAGTGTACGAGGAGGAAGATCAGCTGCTGTGGTGTCCTGACGAACTGTCAGAGTATAAAGTGAAAGACTACCTCAGAGAAGCACTGTCACAGTCTACAGATGACCGCACGCATTATTCCACATCTGAACACATACGAGACAACGAGCAGGTCTGTGTTCTTCAGAAGCTCTCATTCATTCTAATAGTTAAGGTCACTGACACTGCAAACAAAAACGCTGTGTTCATACTCCTGTAAATGTTGAGATTATTATTATTTTTTTAGTTTAGTAAAAACAAAATATTCAAAATACAGTTTTAGCTGAGGTATGTGTTTATGCATAATCTACCTGATTAAATACTACATTTTGTTCTAAGTAAATGTTTCATCTGTTAATGAAAAGAGATTTCCTAATTTCTCTCTGTAAAAACAATGTCAAAACAAAAATTTATCAAGAATTATGAGCCTGATTTGATCCAGTCTTTAGATTTTTTTGTTAGAAGTGTGTGTAAATATGCATATATTTAAGTAAATGATGCCTAATTTGCATGTTTAAAAATAACCTTTTAAAGACTTGTAATACAAAAACGTTTGTTCCTTTTTTGTCAACTGTAAATGTGTGGCAATAACTATTATTATTTAGATATTTAGTTAAATTATGATTGTTGTTGTTGTTATTATTCTTCTTTTTAGAATTATTTTACTGTATTCACCTGTAGTCTCTTTCCCTAACATGAAAATTCTTCACTCATCATGTAAGAGCGGCTGCTATGGTTTAATCATATTTTTACGATTATCATTTTTCTTTCTCTGGTCTCTATTCTAGGCTTTGTTTGAGCTTTTGAAATGTAATTATGACACTCGTGAGGCGCTGGTTCGATACTGCAGTAATGTAAAGACCTCAAAAGGTAAGCTGTTCAGTACAGGAGCAAAAACCTTTTCTACACAGTAATGCCATAAATAATCACTTGTTCTGTTCTGATAGAAGAATCACCACCATGGTCAGAGGAGGAATGTAGGAACTTCGAACATGCGCTGCAGATTTATGAGAAAAACTTCCATCTTATTCAGAAACACAAGGCAAGTTGTGTATATTGTGTTATCCACTCAACTCTTTAGTTGATAAACTATAATGTTTTATTAGCTATATTAAACTGCAATCTAGATATGTAATTAAATTAATACATATATTCATTTTATATCTTTACAATTATTCAAAAGCTTGTGATAAACAGTAACTAAATATTTTTACTTCATTTTTGTACTTAAGTAAATATTCTAAGTATCTGCATTATCAGAATATTTGTGCTTTAGAAAGTTTTTTTCTTCACTATATTTAAAAGTCATGCTGTTCTTGATATTGTACTTTATTATTTTATTGTATTAAATTTCATAAATACATTTATAGTCAGGATGGGAAGTTTGGATCATTTTACTGACTCAGACCTTTGAGTCTCGTTTATCGAAAGAAACAAATTTTTTTTCGAGTAATTTTGTTAATTTTGCCAAATTGACATTAAAATGTTACGAGATGCTTCCAACACATCTACAACCACACCAAACGTTGATCACACTACACAAACAGGTTAAAACTAGAATGCTACTACACTAAGAGAAAATAATCAGACAAAACACCAGGTAAACATTGAAGGATTAACTCTGATCACCTCGTCTGGCATGTCTTCAAACCAGAGTCATTCGTTCTATGTAAGCTTAATCAATGAGTACAGCATGTAAAGAGATGACTCAAAACCGATGACTCAAGAAATTAATGGATCAAACCTTTTCCAGCTCTAAATGCATGATTGGCTTCTGTCTTTCATGTGACGAACAAACAACTCAAACCCGAAACTCAAAAAAGAAACTAATCTTCTCCTCCACCTGCACAAATGTGTGCATGAATGAAGGAATTACTTCCTTAGAAGACTCCTCGTTCTTGAGTCACATAAAAGATATGTTCAAAATAAATGAAACATTCAAGGTTGACCCATCACTAATTCCTAGTGATTATTTCTATTAATAATTTGCACAAATCATAAATATTTGGGGTTTGCAGAGCTGTACAATAACTCATTTTGCTAATAAATACAGTATATAGTGACTAAATACTAATTTGTCATTGCTGCTTTTGTAATTTCAGGTTCAAACACGGACTGTAGCAGAATGTGTGGCTTTTTACTACATGTGGAAAAAGTCAGAACGTTTTGACTACTTTGCTCAACAGAACCGATTTGGCAAGAAGAAATACAGCTGTTACCCTGGTGTGACGTAAGTATTGGGATGATTTTGGTCTCTGTGTTTTAGAGAAAGTGCTGGGTTCACGGTGTATGTGTGTTTGTCCTCAGGGACCTGATGGATCGGCTGGTAGACGAGGCTGAGGGTCTGGCAGTGGACGGCTCTTCACCGGTGTGTTCAGCTGGAGCAGGAGGAAGACTAGAGGCATCGGCAGAGCAACAGCTCGGACTGCTCAACTCTATCACTGCCAGTGACCTCACAGGTAACAACTGTCTGAACAGGAGAACTGTAGAACAGCTCACCATCTTTTGAAGTCAGTGAAAACTGCGTAAGTTCAGTTGTTGGATAGATAATTAAGGAAATGAGCACAATTAGGGAAATATGCTGTTCTTTTTAACTGTTTGGTGCCATCCTGTGACTGAATAATTATAATCATAACTAGTTATAATTAATTATTATAATTAGTTTAGATTTTTGTTGTACAGTGGTCTCTTGTTATTAGCGAAAGTTACATTTTAAAAATAATCTGCAATTGGTGAAATCCGCGAAGTAGTCCGCTTAATTTTTTTACAATTATTATAGATGTTTAAAGGCTGTAAAACCCCTCACTAAGCACTTCTCAGACAGGCATTTACATTTTCACACTTTTTTTCTCGTGTTTAACACTCCCAAAGTTCAAACCTTCGTTAAAAAATAAGTCCAGTATTATAAAATTAAACCAAAGAGCAAAACCATTTGATCTTCATTTATTTTCTACTTAATGTTGTTATACAGCCGCGTAACTTCTACCTTCCTTAAGCATGTCCAGAAGTGTTTTTGTGTGATCTTCCTCTGCCTTTTGGGTGCTACCGCAGGTGCCTTTGACAGTGCAGAATGTTTCATTGACATTGTGGGGAGCAAACTTGCAAACACACAGTACAGCAGTTCAGAGTCACACTGCTGGCAATCAAAGATTAATGTAAATTTGGCGAGCTCAACGCATTTTGTACTGTACAGAAGATTGATTGACAATGGTCTAAAGCAGGGGTCATCAAACTTGTTCCTGGAGGGCCGGTGTCCTGCAGATTTTAGCTCTAACCCTAATCAAACACACCTGAACCAGGAAATTAAGATCTTACTAGGTATACTTGTAACACCCAGGCAGGTGTGTTGAGGCAAGTTGGAGCTAAACACTGCATGGTCATCGGCCCTCCAGGACCAGGATTGGTGACCCCTGGTCTACAGTCAGGATGCAGAACACGATGTGCTGATCAGGACGCGGAACACAATGCGCTGATCAGGACGCGGAACACAATGCGCTGTAGAGAAAAAAAAGCATGTCAAATTACACGGAAAAAAAATCTGCAAAACTGCGAGGTTGTGAAAAGTGACCACAGTATTTGCTTGTAATCTGAAAAAAAGTGCATGAACTGCAATGAAAAAGATTTTTACTGAATAAATTCCAGCATGCGCATCAAAATATGTGATGTGATTTTGTTATAAGAGATCATGTAATGATAAAAATAGCATTAATAGGCAAACCAGCAGGGCGACAGTCACAACAGTGGTTCAGTGTAACTGGAATTACAGCCTCCAGAACTATCTCGAGCATCTCTGCTCCCAAACGGCATCTCACGCCTCAAATCACCACGTGTTCATTTCATTACATCTTCTGAGGTTGCACAGCTTCTCATACCTCAGCCAATTTCATTTTTCTTCTTGGTTATTTGGTGCCAGTTTTTCAGGAAGTGACTTTTATTCTCTTTGACTCGCAGCATTGTTTGCAAATCTTTTATTGTTATTGAATTTGGCAAATTATTGCTGGAATTAGGCGATCCTGCATATGCTTTGCTAGGAAAAGCAAATTAGACATTGATGTCAGACCTGACTTTATGGTGACTTTCTATCACATGAAAAGCAAAGCCATCCTTAGAAAGCTTGTCAGATTAACTAGTTCTGGAGCAGGAAGAGCACTAGCTCTGAACTAGCCCCCGGTTCATGCTGCTGGAGATGCCTGTGGTAGCAGTCTCAAAGAGTTCCCTAAATCTTAATTTTTTTTATATCAAATTTTTTATAAACTGTGTACATTAGAATACACTCAAATGACATTTGCTGTTTGTTCCACTTATTTAAATTGAGCTGAAATAACACAGTTCTTGGGGGACAAATTTATTGTTTTGTTCAATCCACTTAAATTTAAAAAAATACTAATTATTTAACTTCATGTTGTGCAAACACAAATCTATTGTGTGGAACCCAGAATTTTAACAGTGTATATCAAACTCATTAAATATGCTTTGAGAACTGCTTTTTAATTCTGTTAGTATTAACTTCAAATAGACATAAGCAGAGACATCAAAATCTAGGCAATTGTAGGTTTTCATGTAATTTTGATCTCCTCTTTTTCTTGCAGCTCTTAGTAACAGTGTAGCGAATGTGTGCAACGGTCCAGCAGAGATGAGCTGTTTGGACTCTCCGTTCTTCCCCCCTCTGGAAAGTTTGCACCGAGCAGCCCTGAACCATGACGATCAGCTCAGCTACGGAACGAATGGAGACGGCGTCTGCCTCAACATGCTGGATTCAGGCTTTTACCGCTCTGACCTGGGCCAGCTCAGCATGTGCAGCAGCAAAGACTGCGAACGACCCTCCAAGAGGCTCAAAATGGGCCTTTCAGAGTCCTTCATCAACGACGTGGACTTCGAGGGCAGACGAGCACATCGCATCACAGGCGCCACAATGGCGGTTTCGGTCACAGACTTCAGTGGCATCGGGAGTGAAGCCAACGCTTTCATCAGCTCTCATTCTCGACACCACCAACACACTGCACTTCAGTCCGACTGACTCTCTAGTTCTGACATCCAGACTCACCTTCATCCGCTCACTGACTATTAGTTCTTTTTTAAATTAAAAAATGATATCTATATATAAATATATGAATATACTTTTTGGTCTTTTTTGTTTTTGTAATATGACATCAGTGATGTCTTTATTGTACAGAAATAAGGAATCTTGATTTCTCAAGAGTTTAAATAGCCATTTATTTTTCTGGTCCTTCAGATATTTAATATCCTTTTTGTCTTCGGTGAACTACAGTTAAACCTAAATGCTGGAGCAGAGAGCCGTGGTCTCTTACTGTACTCATCCCAACATCTACATCTTTCAGCGTTTTTTTTTTTTTTTTTTTTTTTTTTTTTTGTCGTTGCCTCTGAAACTGCATTTTTCGTTGTTTTAGGATTTTTCACAAACACCTTTGTTTCTGAAAATGGTACCTTTTTTTCAGTGTTTACACCGCCCAAGATAGGCTACCCCTTGGGAAATGTAGCATTTTGTATATCTGGAAACTGGCTTTTGTAATTGAGAATAGTGATTTCTTTAGAGTGAAAGACTGACATGTTTAAACAAAGAGCACTTACAGTCTATGAGATGTTTCCAGTGTATTGGCCCTCTTTTTTTGTTGAGATAACCAAGTGTTTATGAAAAAAGTCTTGTAAATGGTTAGTGTTCGGGTTATTTGTAGATCTAAGCTTTAATAAGTCAATTTATTGTAGTAATTGGAACATTTAATGAGTTACTATTTTTTGGCCTATATTGAAGTATCATTATTGACTTGATCTTTCTCAGCTGCACACTGTTAAAAATGTACATTTTTATATGGAGCCAGATCAGTCTCAAAAATGATACATTTAAAAACTATAATTGATGCATTCACAACACAATTCACAATTTCCAATTTGTAAATACAAAACACAATTCAAAAATACACAATTTCAATTTGTTAATACTACACCAATCCTATTCGTAAATTCAAATCACTATTCAAAATACACGAATCCTCTTCGTATTTTCAAAACACAATTCAAAAATCCACCAATCCAATTCGAAAATTCAAAACGCGGTTCAAAAACACGCAAATCCGATTCATAAATTCAAAACACGATTCAATAATACACAACTTCATTTCGGATATCCATAACGATTCAAAATTACGCAAATTCCATTCGTAGATTCAAATCACTATTCTAAAGCACACAACTCCATTTGTAAATTCAAAAATACACATTCGATTTGTTAATTTAAATCACGATACAAAAATACACAAATCCAATTCGTAAATTCAAAAGATGATTAAAAAATACACAAATTCGACACATGATTTCATAATATACACAACTTCAATTTATTTGGATTAACTATTAAATTAACTATTTATGATTTTTACTTGTGAATTTACAAGTTGTGTGTTGTATTCATGGTTACAAATTGTATTTTGTAAATGTGAATTGTGCTGTGCATGTATGAACTTCATAAATGTTTTATTTTTGAGAATTTTCTAGCTCCATATTTTAGTCTGCAAAGTTTTTTTGTTTGTTTAAGATTTGGCACTCAAATGCTTCATGTGACATTTATGAGACTGTCATATGCATTTGACAGTATTAGTCTGAATTGTGTATAAATATTAGTCCATGAGTGTGCAGAACATTTATGATTTCCCTTTTGAGTGTAAATTTATACCCTTAACAAAGGTCATTTTTACCAAGCGTAACTTTTGCTGGTGCTCAACTTTAGTACCATTTGAACCAGTGTTAATTTTTCAGCTATGCATTATGTATATTTTGTAGCTGCCAGGGGTACAGAGAACACCTGAATGTTAATTGAGCTAATTGTTAATCACTCTTGACCTCTTCTGTTGTGTATTGTATGCATGAAGCAGACGGGACTCTTGTTGATCCTTTGACATATTTCAAGCTGATTAATATTACATGCCAAAAAAAAAACAATCAGCTTGACGCACTGTATCAAAACCGATACTGCCTCCGAGCTCGAGTCCTTCCTGCTATTTTGCATTTCAAAACAATTACTTTGTTCGTTTGTATACTAAAATCCCTGATTTTGTAATTAGGGAAAAGCAAAAATGTGAAAAATAGTGTTTATAGCAATAAGATGTAGATATGTACAGATTGTTGAAAGTCTTACAATATTCATAGCTTATTTTCACCTTCGTTTACTGCAGTGACAGACGTCAAATGCATGCTGATTATGGTTGCTTGCTAAAATATCACAGCCTTTCTTTAGTTTTTATTTGAGCGATGTGTTTTATGAACACTCCGATGTAAACCTATTCATTCATCATTAGTTTAATTCGATTCTTGATTCTTAACGGCTGCTATTAGTAATGTGAAGAGTCAATTTTCCATTGAATGCACTGCGTTTGCAATTATGAGTTGAGTTGAGAGAGTTCTGTGCATCTCCATTAAGCATGTTTGAGCTGTGATTACTGATGTTGATTCAAATGAATGCCATTATTCATGAATGATTAGAAAGCACTACTTTTTTTTGTTGTTGTTGCTCAGAAATGTTCAGCATACATCAACAAATGTAGTACTTGGTGCTCATATCATTTGTTTTTATTTTCATACCTTAAAATGCTTTTATTCTTCTGTATTAGTACTTTAAAAACGATACCGTGAATTGACAGACATTTTACCCCCAAAGTGTTTTGCATATTAAAATGGATTAAGTCGAATTGCAGAATGTACAGGTTGCTTTGACCTATAAAAGTAAACATTTTACATCTTAAATATATTGAGAAGAGTTTGGTAAAGTGGATGTGCGTATGTTTTATGTATTTAATTTAGAAATTTTGAAATATATATATATATTCAATAGAGGTTTTTACATTGAACCACGGAGAGGAAGGCAATGGTAAAACTTGTGAATAAGAAAACCCCCCCAACAAATCCTATAAATGTAAATCCATATATACAGACAATCATAACATTTAATGACAGAATTATTCAGATATCTCTATTGTTTCTAAAATCTGTACATATGATTGTATTGCTTTTCTTTTTCATTATTTTGTATTTTTGTTGTACTTTATTACTTGGTGTAAAAAGCTCCAGAAATAAAAGCTCTGGAAACAAATGAGTGTTCATTGTCAATTGTCATACAAATATGATCATTATTAATCTAATGCGTTTGTTCCGAACTTAAAGGTCCACTGACATTAAATATATACGTTTAGATAGCACAGTTATATTTTAGGATATCTATAAGCTAGTGCGCATATTAGTCAATGTATAAGGTAGTCACAAAAAAGAGACAAACTTTGTGTTTAGAACAGAAATGCCCAAACTAGGGCCCGTGGGCCAAAGTTGACCCATGGAAACCTTTGAATTGGTCAACCCAGGCTCATTCTGATTGTGTTCGTCTGTATACATTTCTGGAGAGCGCAAAATACATCCCAGGAGTGACGTTTTTTTGCAAATCAGCCAGAAGCCGATGTGTATGCTTTTTCAGATCTCTAATTTCTTTTGCTAGTGCCATTCGCGCCTGATGTGCTCACATAGTCCACCAGAGACCGCTGTCGACTGACCTCCAGACCGATCCCACCCACCCTCCTTCCCTAAACCCATCCAACAGTGTTTTAAAAGCCCTGAATGACCAGTGCCCACCTACCTCCCTAAACGTAGCCCAACCGTAGGGTTTTGAAAAGCAAACCAGAAAAAAAAAATAAAAAGCCCTCGTCTGATTTTACCACCTTTTTAGATTTGACCACATTCTCACCCTGTTATTTACTTGTTTATTTATTTATTTTTTTTGGCTTCTGTTTTTGTCTTACCCACTTTTTGGAACTGTTCTTTACTGGACTTGAACCCTGTTGTTGTGGTCAACTCTGTGCTATGCGTCTCAAGTCTGCAGTTGTGTCAAGCTACCGGACAAACTGGTAAACATCGGAAAAGCCGTCCACATGCAGGTAAGCGCTCAGCTGATAAACGAGGAAAGAAATGGCGTCATTCCACCATGTAGTGTTTGTTTTAAAGACAAAATGCAGACATACGTAGCTCTGGCTACACAATTCACCATCTCCAGAAATGTATGTAGGGCTGTTTTCAGAATGAGTCTGTTGCATTTGGCCTGCCATCTCATGTAAGAGAGGGAGAATGACAGTGATGGGTTCAAGATTGTCAATTCAAATTTAATGATAGCCTTGTTTGTTTTATTGCTAAAAGCTAACTGAAATTAAAAGTTTTAATTAAATGGTGTTAATGAATCAGATCATGTTTGTTAAGCAAATCAAGTCAAAGGCCAGTTCTGCTTGACCAGTGTATTCAGCATTAAACGTCACTGTGTTTTTAAATGTGATTGTTTTTATTGCAACAAGTGATCATTTAAAGTTAAACTGCATTAGTTAACACCATTCAAAATTAATGTTTTCTATTTATTTTGAAATATTATTAAATCAATTAGGAAATTACCCTAGGCAACTTTAATGAAATATACTTACATATTCAGCCTGCAGCTCTCGATGATATTTGGTTTTTGGCCCTTCATACAAAAAGGTTTGGGCACCCCAGGTTTAGAAGATGTAAATCTGACATAAACAGATCTAACGCTTGCAGTTGTCACTTCTGCATAAATGAATCAACAACTTTTATCACATACTTCAATTTCTTATCAAATCTTGACCAATCGAATGCTCTCTAGTATCTGACATGCCCCACCCCTTCAAGAAGCTTCTCATCCAATGTGCTTGAGTTTAGCCACTCTCACTGGCAGTGCTGTGATATAAACTAAACACTATTGGCCATTTTTTAAGGGGGGAGGAGCTACTCCATGTCCCACCTTCTCTTCATGCTGAGATTACGTCAAACATGGGATAGAACTTCACAGGACCTAAAAATTCTTTATGCTGAAAATAAAATATGATTCAAGACGTTGATAACCAAACAGTCGATGGCAAAAGTTGATCTCCACATTAAATGGCTGTAGTCAACTATCTAATTTCTAACATTGTTTAAAGAGCCCATATTATGGGTTTTTGAAAATTCCCCTCCATGTAGTGTGTAACACAGCTCTAAGTGAAGTAAAGTATCCAGCTAAGGCTTAAATCTGTTAGTGTACAGTGTTTAAAACAGTTGATTCGTCTATAAAAGAGTCGACTCATAGTGCTTCAAACGAGTCGCCTTGATACCGATTCATTAGGTGTTTCGCCATGACGTACAAACGAAACCAAGTTATTCACGTGTACGCGTAAACCCGGGAGATTTCAAACCTGAGGCCCCGCCCTCTGACGCAGGAACCCAGACACACACACACACACACACACACACACACACACACAAACATGCCGGTCGATTGAAGTCACACTGCAGATGGATATATTGAGTCTCTACCCAAAGATGAAACCTCAGCATTATAACCAAGCAGTTGGAAACTACTGGAAACTTCTGGAAACTACATGCTACAAAGAATACTTCATCTGCGTTTCTTAAAGGAAGGATCAGTAAAGAGTAACATACTGATGGACGTCAGGATGGGTTTCCATTTCTCAAGTGTAAGTACGTGCGGTTAAAGTTGTTGCCTCGTTGACTCTTGCTTGCAAATGTATTTGTATTTGTGATTTGTTACTTGTAACCGAGTGTACTGTATCAGGTTAACTGGCTATATTCTCTTATCGCGTGCAAAGTCACGTTAAAAACGCGACGCGTGCTGCTTTGTTTATGGAGCTCCGTGGTAGAGTTCTGCATTCCCGCGGCTGTGAGAGAGAGAGAGAGAGAGAGAGAGAGAGAGAGAGAGAGAGAGAGAGAGAGAGAGAGAGAGAGAGAGAGAGAGAGAGAGCGAGAGCGAGCTTTGTGTGCTTGGTGCTGTGTGTGTGTTTATACAGACATCTTGGCTGTCTGGACTGTATAGCTGGGTGATTTTTGGTTGTGTTCTCCCCCGCTCTAGCAGGATCGGGCGCGGCGGGCAGAAAACGGAGCGGGTTCTCAGGCTAAAACCTGGCGGGTGCGGGCGGAAGCGGGAGCGTTGTCGTCCGGAGGTGTGTGTGTGTGTTTTTGTGTGTGTGTGGCAGCTAAAATCCACGCCTACACTATCGAGCGTGTATGAACTGTGATTACTTTTTATATTGCTGATTAGCTATTGGCCATTTCACTCTCTGACTGAAGGCAGTCGACCAATCGCGACAGACTGTCATCGGTCCAATCAGCGCAGATTAGCTTCGCGCTAAGGAGGGGTTTGGGAACAAATGAATCACTGGACGATTCATACGGGAGTCGCTGGGATAATTAGGTAAAAATAAATGCAGATTATAAGACCATGAAAGTGTTTTTTGACCTTGCATGCATATTAGACTGTTGTTGGAGACCCTAACAACCAAGATATGACCCTATTTCATGTGTAATATGGGCTCTTTAAAATAGCTTCTCGTGTTCAAAACAAGTGTTCATTGAGTATGTGGTGAGTGTTCATTTTTGAGTGTACTATCCCTTTAAAACCTCACTTAAAAAGTATGCGAGTAAAAAAAATATGACGGTTATTAATAGGTAAAAATAAAAGGCAAACAAGTTTTCAAAAATGAGTAAATATTTTAATCTCTCAGATCCACAATACTGCTTTTGTTCAGCAGAGACCTGTATAATGTGCTGGCTCTCCATTCAGTACTTTCCTCAAATGATGATCCATAAACTCAAATCCAAAAACGGTGTTGATTTAGTAAACCACTGATAAATGAAAAGTGGCAAAAGGTTAATGTACTGTAAATGCAGAGCACCTGAACAATGAAACAGGCTAACTGTCAAAGAATGATTTGTATGTACAACATAATTTAATTAAGTTTGTAGTGAGACATGCTTTGAACTCCTCTTTTGCTGAGGATCAGCCAACAGATTCCCACAAATAAGGAGTCTGATTTAATGAAGCGGTTCAGATTGCAGTCATTCTGGTCCTCCTCGCTGCAACAAGATAAAAAAAGAAAATGGTTTATCCATATTATGTTCATTTTCCCCTAAACATCACAACATAATGATAAAAGAAAATGCTACAATAAAAATCCATTTATTAAACAAATCAATATTGCAAACCGCTAACACTACAATAGAAGATTTAGTCCAAACTGAACGGCTCATCTTCTCTCAAATATGAAATGAACTGATCAGTTTAAAATGGTGAGCACTAACCTGGATGTAGTCCATTTCATTTAAGTCTAGGGTTCTCCTGCGGTATCTCTGAGGGAGCTCTCGAACCACAGCGATGCTGTCAGGGGTGCCGGGGAGTCGACTGGCGGGTCCCGGTGGTCTTGGCGGAGGTGATACTGATGCTGCAGATGGAGCTGTGGATTGAGAGAGCTGTGGCAGGCTGGCTGTGAGCACCTTCAAAGCCTCTTGTACTGCAAATGCAGCACAAAGAAATGAAACGGTTACCAACAAGTAATGCTGAGCTTATTGGGTAGAAACACCTTATTTCCATAATGAGAAATTCACAAACAGAAGGCCTTTAACTGTGACAACTGAACTGAAGCTGTTTAATCGACTAGAACTTCATGCTTTGACACAATATACATTGTAAACAGCGCTACAGAAATAAAGATGAATTAAGTTCATTAATTAAATATACATTAAGTCATTTAGTAGATGCTTTTATCCAAAGCGACTTACAAATGAGGACAAGGAAGCAATTTACACAACTATAAGAGTAACAATGAATAAGTGCTGTAGGCAAGTTTCAGGTATGTAAAGTGTGAGAAGCAAAACATTAGAAATTTTGCTTGATTTTGTTTTTGGTAATACAGTTAGCAGTGGAGCCAGAGAGGCAACTCCACATTCAATTTCAGAATGTACATTTAAATCGTCATTTTTCTTTAGCAGATTTAAAAAATATATATATTTTTATAAAAATAATTTAATAGAACCAATAACCTTTTAAATATGCAGCACCTTTTGCATGGAATAACCTGCAAACAAAGTAGCAGTTTAAAGAGTTGGTTTCACTACATACTTTTAAACTATTTGGAATTTGAAACTTGGGCCTGTGGATGTTTTGACTAGATTTAACTCTCATTGTATGCGTGTTTTGATGGATGAATGATGTTACCTGTTATTTGTTTTGTTTTGTTTGTTTGTTAAACCCATATGAACTGTATACTG